ATTCAAATCTCGAATGGCGGGACCATCTCCAATCAGAAACCCTATTTAGAAACTAAAAAGTTCGGGACCTCAGAATTGGAAAAGTCTCTATTCATGGGGCGAGCAAAATCCGTCTCTTTAAAAAAAGATCTAATCCCTATTCCTCCATTTGAACTAAACTGATTCCCAACCGGTCAGGATTATCCAAACAACCTTCGAGATCGAATCATCACCCAAATCCGGTAGACGAAGGAAAATCACAGTTTCATCCTCTCTAATCTATCTTACCGAGTAAGCCAAAGAACGAAAAACTATAGACATCCTCAACTCTTCTAATATTTTGTTGCCTAATCAATCTTTGAACTAATTGTCTATTTACATATTGATATAGGCACAAATAGTATTCACTAATTTCAAATATGCAAAAACCGGACAATCCAAATAAAAAGCTTGGTAGCCTTTACGACAATTAGCGCAACTCTCCCGTTCCGCTTTACACTTATTCAAAGAGTGATTATCTCCACATCTGGGGTAAATGTTTCTTTCTCTACAATTATTCGATGAATGTCCCCAACGATAACATTTAACACATTTCCTTATCCTATTTAGTGGTTAACTCGCAATTTTACCTTCCAGATGTATATGTACTCGGGTAATAGGCTGGAATTAAAAGTTATTTTCACCGAATTTGAGTCCATTAATGTATTAGAATCACGTGATAGATATTTTAATCTCTCAACATTAATCATCTCAAAAGATTTACCCGGCCACGTGATTCCCTTAACGTCTTCCACAGTCAAAGATGGACGACCCCCCCTTCCCCTCACAACTCCTGTTCTCAAAATTCTGAAGTTGGGAATATAAATTAACCAGTTGTTAGGTAATTCTTTATTATTACTCACGAATTCATTAATTCCTTGGAAGGTGTCAAAATTAATACCAATTATATTAATTCCTACTTTCTTGATTCTTGTGATTTTTTGAAAGCTAATCATGCAGTAAACTTTCTTCCTGATCAACATAGGATGTAGATTAAAAATGAGATTTGCGATTCCTCGGTGTATCTATTTTTTAATTGGGACCTAATATAGCTTTCTTTGAAATCAGTATTCTTTGGTCTTTCATGAGGAGGTCTTTCTTTATAGAAAGAGAAACATTAAAGTATGTTAAACAAGGAAAGATTCAGTATCAATTTCACGACGCGAAGCAGATCGGTATTCTCGATTCTCTATAGTCGATTCTTATATCTAAGACTGTCTTAAGTACAGTCTTAAGATGTCATAAATCAATCCGAGGACTGTATTAGCATCTTAAGACATTATTTAAGACAGTTTTAAAATAAAAACGAACTATCACCATGTTTAGCGTTTCATAGTTGATAGCTTTAGTCTCTTATTGACGTTCATAGACAGAGACGACGGAAATTCAGAGAGAGATGCTTGCAAATTGCACACACCATGTTATCCCTTCCACCATAGTCTGGCACTTGAAGTGGCCGCCATTTTTCATCGAAATTATGCAAGAGAATAAAATTGTGACTATCTCTCTTTATCTCACGCTACAGTGGCGCTGTAAGTTGCAACTCTACTCTATAGAGATGTTCTATAAGCTTCATAGTTCTTGACGAACATTCTTGCACGTTCAGATGACTAGCTAGTGATTAAAATTTAAAAAACGTAAAAATTTAGTAATATCTAATCATAAATATTACGACAACAAGTCCATAGTCATGCATCATGCATTTCAAGTAAAAATATAATGTATTTTCATTATGCATTTAAATGGAATGGATGAAAAATGTCGGTTCAATCACAAACCGGGAAGAAGATGGTCAGATTAGAAGGACACTAGCGGTTACTAGACAAGAGCATTACCCGTTACATCATGGAACTTGTTGAAACTTTTAAGTTGAAACTTGCTTCAGTGTATCCCATTCGAAATTTTTCAACGATTTTTTTCGACAATGACTGAGAAATGCATCTTACTGCTTGACCAAAGTAATGGGCGAATTCAGGATGGCAAAGTGGCTGCTTACCGAACGATTGAATATGATTGATTGGATCTATAAGTAACAACCAATTATGCTAATTTGCTTGGTAAGCAGGCTAGCCGCTTTGTCGACTTAAAAGCTCAATGTCTGGGTGATATACTTCACATGCCGTAGTTTCAAATTTTTCTAAATTCCGAACGTCTGAACCTCTTCTTGTAAGACTTTTAAGATTTCTCATTGTATAATTTCTGAAAAAAACTCGAAGTGTTTTTTTTAAATCTTCATGAATTTGAAAGATAACAAATATTATAAGATAAAATATATATTATAAGATGTTACAAGAATATTTTCATCTCCGCTATTAGTGTCTCACACAGCACGAACTTAACGGATACAATTGATGCCACTCTGCCATAATGTTCTGCTCGGATGTGCTGATAAGCTAGCATATCGCTAACACTTTACTTATTGAACTAATTGTTTGTGTACGGTGGATATCTGAAAATATTAAATTAATATTTAAAATTAATTAGATAGGATATAATAGTGATTTCATAAGAAATAATAAATCGAAATGCCATTCTGACTTGTTTTTTTTACTTACTGTATTTAGCATTGTCTAGCATCCTGGAAAACATCGCGCTCTTCGGAGACATCGTGCTGCATTTGCCGGACATCACTCACAGAATACTGAGGACGCAACCGAGATGGAACTCCACAATACACTGGTCCCTGAATTTCGCCAATCAGACGCAGTATTTACTGAATAAATCGACCATTACGATGTTTCGTTTGGTCGAACAGGAGTTGAATATTACAGAACGCGATCCGACTTATTTGAATCCGTATAGGAGTGCTGCGCACGCCGGCCAGCGCGAGGATTCTATAAAGAAGAAGTCTGTGAAGAAAGAAAAACGCAAAAAGGGACCGCAGATTGCTAAAATCGAACTGTGAACCCTCACTTCCGACGTTCGCGAGATTTCTCTGACCGGTTCCTAAATGGCTTTGTTAAAAAGCGGGCTCTCTGCGACGTCGCCACGCCGCGCCGTTAAAATCCCAGAGAATATCAATACCATATCTGATTCTAAGGGGTTGATTCTGTAACTCTTAATGACAGTCGTTGATGTCGTTGTGCAAATATTATGTAGAGTAAAAAAAGTTGCGCAACATCAAAGACTGTTATTAAGAGTTACAGAATCGGCCCGTATCCTACAAGATTGATAACGAAGAGCTTCCGAATGGCTTAATTCAATGAGAATTACTTATATATTTCATATACAATGTCTATATGTAATTAATTACTATAAGCTATTGAGAATGTGCAAACTTAGCATTTATATTTAATAATATATTAATTATTATGTGTTATGCAGATGTTGCTATATACATCGAATTCCAAGATGAACCCTTACAAACATTTAATACTAGAAGAAAGTGATAAATTATTTATTAAGCACTGAACGTGCTTTTAATATTCAAAATACATAATTAATCTTTTAGTATTAAATCGACTATTATTAAATTAGATCTCTGAAGAAAAGTATCCTTTCTATTAAGTAGAATTGTTGCTATCAACAACTGCATTTTTAACTTGCGTAAAAACAGTTGTACATAAAATTTTAACGTATTCCTGGTATTTGATTGTTCCAATATTATCGAAGTGTTAACACAATTTGTTTGATTTCCGACGATGAAAAATCGTCACGGAGCTGCGCCGATCCGTGCCCATTTGAAAGCGGAAAAGATTGAAGACTTGGTGCAAATTGTGAATCTGCGGCATATCGTATCTGATATGAAAGACAGCTTTCCTCGTTGATTTGTCCCGATGCGACGGTGAGCCGTCACGCCGCTCCGGTAGAAAGTGGTCAACCAATGAGCTGAGAACTGATTCCTGTGCTGACCAGTTCCCGAGGTCCCCGTGGCGCGCTGGTTTGCGGCAGCCGATCAACCCGGTGGATCGGTCAGTCGGTTGGTTGATACGTCGCTGTGGTCGCGGTGAATTGCACGAATCGAACGAGGGAAGACACGAAGGAATTGGAACGCGCAACCATCAGCTAGGGAACACTGAGACGTCGCGCGCGATATATGATGAGGCTCCAGGAAGCGGCGCTACTCTGCGCCGTCTTGACCATCGTCGCAGGTAGGCGCGCCTACGGTGTTTTTCATGTTACGTCGACCACCTTTCTCTCCATCGATGTTCTTATCTCGAAAGATCGGAGTGTACGCATATGTGGGAGAGTAAGAAAATAGGAGAAATTATTTGAAATTCTCACCATGGATCACACGAGACTCTTTCCAGGCCGTTTCTCTATAAAAGTCATTATAATAGGAATGCTTCTATCTCGTTTCTTCTGTGCGCGCGCGCGTGTGTAGGAAATTACGAAATTTCGAGATTGAATTTTTATTGATTCCAATTACCAAGTTCCTTTTGCCGTTCACCTGCAATACTCTCGGTGTATTATCGTACAATGTTCAATAGATCAATGAGATGGATTACAGCTTACTTTCCAAAAATTGTGAAATTTCCAGATGATCCTCAGCAAACTCTGAATATAATTCATATAACATAAATGTAAAATGTAGATATTTATGTATATATGTCATGTAGCAGTTGTGTGTGTGTGTGTGTGTGTGTGTGTGTGTGTATGTGGATTCGACATTTTGAATTATGCAGTCACGCTGCTCTTCAGAATTGTGTCTGACCAGTTTTAACAGGTTATTGACGTTAATTTCGCCTTTTTTTCCTCTGAAGATATTCCAGCCTTCTCCTACGTTCTTCGATAGCGTATCTTTTTCTTGTTTCTATCCTCGCCTTTCTCTTCGTAGCCGTTATTTTTATCTATAATATCATGTGCGAATAAAGAAATATTTAATTATAACAATCCAATAAATAATTACATATTAAGCAGCTCGCTCTTACATATATCGTATATATTCTTTATTTTTATATACATACTTTATCACAGAAATAAACGTGCATATATGAATGATATTCGTCTAATTGAAAAATAGATAATCAGACGTGGTTTTATAGTCATTAATTGATTTATTTAGAAAATTCTTCTCTTCTTTATCTATGATAAAAATCCATGAACCCAGTGAGCTAAATTTTTCAGTCAGTCCGTAGTAGAACGAAAAAATAAATAAATAAATAAAACATAGAAATCGAAAGACGACATGGATGCGCCGATCAAATTCGATACGTCGGTGGTTTCACTCGCGTTTACATAAGATTTATTTCACGCGTATATAACGTATGTATGTATGTATCTAGAGAGCGAAAGAGTGCACACACGTGTCATCGCACGTGTGCGTGCGTCTGGACGATAGAAGGAAATGTTGTACCTTGGGAGAGAATGAAAGAACACATCGTGAATGCAACATCATTGCCAATGTGTTGGTATATACCTTCACTTTCCACTTTACCGCTAAACGGACCTTAACTCTTTGACGAACATGAACACCTCTCACGAGTTGCGATTGTCCTGTCTTCATTGTCTCGCTGCCTACTGTAATCTCCTGGAAAAGAAATAGAAATAGATTTTGAAGTTCAATACAAATATTTTATCAAATTCTACAAAAATTTAATTTAATACTGGAAAGTAGTGATTAATTACTTATTTTGAGTATTAAAATGTTCAATGCTTTTAAAATTGAATATAGAAATCATACAGAAAGTTGTGTTCAGTGCTTTTAATACTTAAAATAAGTAATAATTAATTACTACCTTTCAGTATTAAAGTAGCTAATATTATATTAGATTTCTATAAAGAAAGTCAGAGATAGATTAGGAATTTCAAAGGTTCACTGATCTCTGACCTTGCAAATTATAGAAATCTATAATATAAGTTATGTAACGAATTAAATATATCTCATTTCTTTCAAGTCACCCGTTTAGAATGCAGACGTCCGTTACTGTATCAGAAAATCTAGCGAAAGCGAGGTCACCGATTCCATGGTATTGCTGGGTTTTTTAATCGCCAAGCGATCAAGTTAAACATCAGGTGTTTCACGTGTAATTTCTGATCGATGTTCTGTGTACACATCGCGAAAATTTATTAAAGTTTATTATCTTGATTGAGGTCAATTGCTTACTTTGTGAATTATGATCATAAAGTAATTATCTTGCCTTATCGTTTAATGAAAAAAATCACTAATAAGAATCACTAATCGTGAAGATTAAATTCGAAAAGACGTATGTACATATCTTAAATGACAAAAATTCTTATAGCTAATATTTTTAAGAATTTTTCATATTTAAAATTTATGAAGATTTCTAAAAAAAATATTTTTAAGCTTCTTCACATTTTGTTAGTTTTTTTTGAAAATTATAGAATGAGAAATCTTAAAAATTTTAGAATTTCGAAATTCACATATGTAAAGAAAAGGTGTAGCCCGGAAAAAATTTTTCACACATGAATATGTATAAATATGTATATATATATATATATAAATATTTATAAATATAAAATTATTTACATGTATTATGTATATAAATACATAATACATGTATATTTATGTTATTTCATAATATATGAATATGTATAAATATGTACATACATAAATATTCATAAATATACATAATTTTATATGAAATATATCTATACAAATTTTTTTATATCCATACATCCTTCTTCCTTTCGCAAAATTACTTTTTAATATAATAGAAATAACAATAGCAAGGTGAAAACATTAAAAATAATAAAAAGGATAATTTTCATTATTTATTAAAAAAAAATTTTGAAAAAATTTAAAGAAATTACTTATGTATAATTAAATATAAAATTATGCATAATTGTGTATGAGCAATTTTTTTTTAGTGTAATATATTTTTCCAAATTTGTTTTTTTTTTCTAAAACGAACAATGCGAAAATTATCCCTTTAATTATTTTTTATGTTTTTTATTATTGTTATTTCTATTACACTAAAAAGTAATTTTACAAAAGAAAGAGGGATATATGGACATATTTCATATATAATTTATGAATATTTATGTATGTTTATACATATTAATGTATGAAAAATTTTTTACCAGGAAACATTTTCAGCACCTTCCAAAAAATTCCAATTCGTATAAAAGATCTATATATTGTATATAAAGAATTTGAAAAAAAAAGTTATAAAGCTACATAGAAAAATTCTGAAAAATTCTAAAATTTATTGAAATTCTGAAAAATTATGTGAAAAACTTTAAGAAAAACATTTCTCTAGGATAATATAATCTTATTTTGATTTAATTCTAATATTATAAGCAAAAGGAATAAAAGTGTGCATACGCATATCAATTATAAGGTCACTAGGAAGAATATCTTCATAGGTGTTACTTTCTCTCGCGCGAGCGCTACGAACCATTTTTAATACCTTCATATCTCCATGTCGATCATGCGTCGTACAATTTCTCTCTATCTCGCGTCTACTGGTACCGCTGTTCCTATAATTAGTCGAAATTTAAATATTGAGTTATATTAATTCAATGTCAACTTAAGTTTATTACTAAGAGAAATGTCACGTGTGTGAAATATTTAAATAAGAACCTTGACTGCACCGAAGCTCCATAATTGTAGACAGAATGTTAACTCAAGTACTTACCACGAATGCATGTTATGAGTTTCACGAAAACTTGTGCAACTCTTGCGTATGCAATCATGATGGACGTCTGGAATAGCTAAAGAACTCTTCCGGCATTCAAAGATTTTTCAAGCGTTCTGCATAAATGCATTGTACGCTTGGCTGAACAGCTAAATAATAATGCAGTGTGTAAGGATTAAGTTTAGAACTTCCTAAGAGATTATCTACATCCATTCGCGGAATCCAGATTAATTAATATTAAGGATCGAAGATATTATTAGTGTATTGACATTTCAGGCGCTGTAAATTTAAGATTCTACGACTATCGGTTTAATGCCTCGGAGATTTCTATCTCTGACGCAGTTCTAAATTTTCAGTAAAGAAGCGATGAAGAAAAGAAGGCGCGCGAGACGGAGCTCTGAAATATGTTAATACTTAGAAATTTGTTGTAGTGCTAATGCAATTCCGCCTTTTAGACACTTTTAACGCATTTGCATTTCACCGAAAGGATAAACACTCATCTGTGCACACACATATGCTCAAACATATTGGAATGCTCACAATCACGTTTCTCGCTTTCTCAAACTTCTCTTCTGGAATTTCTCTCGCCCATGTTTTCGACACGCAGGTTCTCTGTGCATACGCGATGTATTATTCTCGTCCTTGTTCTATGTTGAATATGTGACAAAATGACAAATATTAATCGATCAAATATATCAGCACAGATCGAAAATGTGAGGATTCTTGCAATTTATGACGAGAAAATGTTCTTAAAATATTCTGTACGTTACATGCAACATTATAAATTTGTTAGACAATTTTACTGCAGCGGGTCCATTCATTAAAGTCATCGTTTTGTCATCGCTGTCAGACGTAATTATGCTGCTTAGAACGTAATAACATTTGATAGAAAGAACGCAGTAAAAGTGGAACGTAGGCACTTGATAGCCAGTCGGCCTCATTTAGAATACAAGATCGTAAATACACTTGAACGTAAATGTGTCTCCGAGTAAGCGTTCCCCAACCTTGACATTTTCCTGGTTTAGCATTTAGCGATTTTCGAGATATTAAATCATCTATACGATCATGATCTTCTCCTCTCTAAAACTAAATAAAATGTCTGGACTTCGTAATCGCCTAGGATGAATAAAAGAACAATTTGAGCAAACGATAAAGATGAAAGTATTTTAATATTTTTTTTACCACGTAGGCTCGCGCGTAAGATTAATTGTAATAAATACTTCGTTGTTTTCATGAAAAGAAAAAGGAGAGAGAAATTCTTTCCCGATGTATTTATGCACATATGAAGAGGTTCGAGCATATTTTCTGCTTCAATGGAAAATCATTATCTCTTGTATGTTGAACTTTCTTTTATCGCTCTCTGCAGTACATTGTCAAAAGAATAAGAAGGATGAGGACAAGAAAGACGAGGAGTTCAGGTGTCCGGAAGGCCAAGGTAATGGTAATTTTGCCGATCCGGCAACTTGCAGGAGGTTTTATCAGGTAATTTAATAATTATTAGTTTATCAGGTCATATTCATAATTATATATTTTACATATTATTCTGATTACCTTGTTAATTTCGTTACTCAGTTCTGGATTATTTATCTTCGCTACGATTATTCATATTATGATTGTACATTCGTAATATAAATTGTATATTCTTTATTATTTTCCGAAAGTGCGTCGATGGATATCCCTACTTGAACCGATGTCCATCGGGCCTGCACTTTGATGACATTAGTAAGTTTTGTACCTTCAAAAACGAGGCGCGATGTGGACCCATCGAGACCAGTAAGTAGATACTTTTATGTTACATAGATTAAATTAAGTTGATTTTGTGAAACGAATGGAGCAAGATTTAGAGAGGCAACTTCTTCAAAAAGTGATACAATTATTATTTTCTAATGATACAATTATTATTTTTTAAATTTGACATTTCTAGTCTTTGTTTGTTCGTCAAAGCATATAATTTCCAGCGAGAGTCCAACGCAACATTCGCAACCTCTACTAATGGTCTTTTAATTTTTAGCACCAGCACCAATCACTGAGCCGCCGATGGATTTGGCCGAGCGCTGTGACACGGCGAACTGTCTACTTCCGTACTGCTTCTGTTCCAGAGACGGCACTATCATTCCTGGCGGTCTTCATCCAGAAGAGGTAAAACGACTTGACTGCAAATTTTCGCGATCTATTTAATTAAATGTAGATAAATACAACGATTCGAATAATTCTAGACGCCGCAAATGATAATAATGACGTTCGATGGTGCAATAAATCACAATAACTTCGATCACTATCAAAAGATATTCACCCAAGATCGTTTGAATCCCAACAATTGCCCATTGAGAGGCACATTCTTCATCTCTCACGAGTACTGCAACTACAATATGGTTCAGAGTCTGGCACATGACGGTCACGAGATTGCGACTGAGACGATCTCGTGAGTAGTGTAAATATTCGGGGTGCATTAAGATCATTTCGCTGACGAGACAAATATTTTCAGACTCCAGAAAGGTTTGGAAGATAAGGGTTACGAGGAATGGGTCGGCGAGATGATCGGAATGCGCGAGATACTAAAGCATTTCAGCAATATTTCGACCGGTGAAGTCGTCGGTATGCGAGCGCCTTACTTGAAACCTGGTCGCAACACTCAGTATAAGGTGCTCGAGGACTTTGGATACATATATGACAGTAGTATAGGAATCTCGCCATTGAAAGTGCCGATCTGGCCGTATACCCTCGACTACAAAATCCCACACGAATGTAAAGCGGGCACCTGTCCCACTAAATCGTTCCAAGGTAACAAGATTATGACAAAGATTTAGATCGATATTCATAATCTTATGTTTAAGACCGTCTTAAGTACATAAAATGTCATGAATCAATCACAAAACTACATTAACATCTTAAGGTATTTAAGATAGTCTTGAAATAAGAACGAACTATGAATCTTGTTAGTCACATCTATTCAACTGGAGTAGTAATACAGGAGTATAAAAAGTTATTAATAATGTAATACTTAATGCACAATAGCATATTTGATATGGTAATTTCTGAACAAACGTTTATGCATTATTATAGGCATTTGGGAGTTACCATTGAATGCGCATTATGTGGAGAGTTATGAAGGTGGACACTGTCCTTACTTAGATCAATGTGTTCTTCACAATCACGATCCTGAAGAGGTGTTTGACTGGTTACAGGAGGATTTTAACAGATATTATGAACAAAACAGAGCGCCATACATGATGCCTTTCCATACTAATTGGTTCCAAATCAAGGAATTGGAACGCGGTCTGTCGAAATTTCTCGATTGGGTGGTAACGCTGTGAGTCAAAATACATATATATATTTATAAAAAATCTTAATATTTGAAAATAAACATTGCATTTTTACAGACCTGACGTTTACTTTGTAACCGCCACGCAGGCGTTAACATGGATGACCGATCCGAAACCGATTAAGGCTCTGCATAACTTCGAAGGATGGTCATGTAAGAAAAAAGAGAATTTGCCCGGACCACCGTGTAACAATCCACACAAGTGTGCTTTAGATTTCAAGCCTCCCGAATCAAATTTCACAACGACTAGGTAGAAATTTATTCAACTGTCGATAACACATAAAATTACGAAATAGTAATTAAATATTTTAATAATCGTAACTATATTTTATCAATTGTAATAGGTATATGGAAACGTGTAGAGAGTGTCCAAACAAGTATCCCTGGTTGGGAGACTCGAAGGGTACAGGGCTATACAGTGATAATTACAATCCTGAAAAGAAATAGGAGTGTCACTTGAGTTAGATTTAATTTAGTGCAAACGATTCGCGTTTTGTTGTTATCAAGTAAATGTCTTGTATGTGTGTGCGATATCATCGACTCATTATCGATTACACACATGTTAAACATCTTACTCTTTAATATCGGAGAAACCTCATAAAATTTTAATTTGTATTTCAAATATACATACGAATTAGTATACGTAAACTTATATTTCTATCTTCGTACACGACATATTCACTGGAACTTCGTAATAGTGAACCTCAAAATAATATGAAAAATCCCTTCCACAATATGAGTAATACGAATGGGGAGTAACAATAACCATTAAAATTTTGAATTTCATAGTTTTGGAGTGAAGTAGGGATAACCTCGTTGTAACGTTCAGATCTTCGAACTGCATGCTATTACGAGGTTTCAGTGTACTTATTCGACAAAATTCGCATCTATTGATGTTAAATGTGTACTGCTCTGAATCTGAAAGAGAAAATAAAATGTTTCGCGATGCTACATAAAATCTAAAAAAAAAATCTACCTTTTATTTATAGAGGATAGCAACAATTTTATAATAATTTTTCTTATATACAAAAATTTGAATATCACAATTCCCTAATTTAAAAGTACAATAAAGGAAATAGAAAGGCTCGAGAGAATAAGCGCTAGTACAAGTGCGCTAATTGTACAAAAAATCTCTCAATACTTATACATTAATAGAAAATTTATTAAGAGCCGGAAGAACAATGATAATCGTTAAACGATGATATAATATCGTACGTTTAGTTAGTCTTCTAATAGTAATAATAGATGCAAAAATTACATTATCTAGTGTAAAATGATTGGAATCTTGAAACTTTTAATGAAAGTGAATTTTTCAGTTAACATACTGAAAAATCGCTGAAATTAAACTGAAATTTTTCCGAAGTGTTCTAAAACGTGAAATAATTTTAGCGAAATTTTTCTACCAGGGAAAATGTGAAATTATTTGTTGCAACGTCCAGAGAAGCCAACTAAGTTCTTTGTCGAGAATACATTTTTCCATACCAGTTACAAAACTGGACGGAACTCACGATGTCGATTTAACCTTTAATTATGAAATTGAATATAAGTATTTTTATATGGAAAATGGATGTACATAATGCAAGAACTCATCCGTAAATTCCAAACACATAGTGTGAAACTAATAACTGCTTAAATGTCTTGATGGCAAGTCAACGATTAAAGATTTTTTTGTCAAATTATCAGGGCTCGGTAAAATAACTGATGCGATTTATTTAAAATAAAAAATATAAAATAAGTTCCAAAAACTTATTTAAAATATAAAATCGTAGGAATCGGTAAAATCACTGATACGACTTATTTCAAATAAAAAATGTAAAATAGGTTCCAAAAACTTATTTAAAATATTAAATAAGAAATAGGGCCCGAAAATACATTTATTTATTTAAAATATAAAATAACTTTTATTTAAAATATAAAAATAACTTGTCTTTTATTTTAAATAAATTTTTGGAAGCTGTTTCTTATTTTAAATAAAAAATAGATTTCGGAAACTTACTTAAAATATAAAGTAACAAATATGTATTTTAAATAAATGTTTCAAATAGTATTTAAATAAAAAATATTTTAATGGTTTTGTTTATTTGAATATACGAATACATTTTTAGATATAACGTTTCAATTTTTTTTTTATTATGCTACAGCCTATAATACTTAATATATACTTAATATTAATCCTTTGCGAACCAGGTGGAAAATCAATATGGATCATATGTGAGGATATCTCATACTTCACACGTGCAATATACAATACTTCATCATAAATATACTATATAAATATACTATAATTTAATTATTCACTGTCACTTTTATCGATGGATTGGTAATACAATTTATTTAAAATAAAAAATATAAAATAAGTTCCAAAAACTTTAAAATATTAAATAAGAAATAGTATAATAAATAGGTCAAAAGAAGTTATTTTAAATAATAAATACTTGAAATACTCTAAATAACTGTTTAATTTTTTTTTATTTAAAATGTATATTTTAAATAAATTTATTTGAAATAAGACCGAGCCCTGCAAATTATAAAATAATAAATATAATATGTACAGTACGGAATAATGTGTTGACCATACATTGTCAGACAATAAAATGAAAATTAATAAAGGCTCGCCGATCATTTAAAAGTCAAATTTGTCAATAATAAGAACAAACTAAGAGTTAAAATAACTATAATATACTTGATTTAGCAGTTCTAAACCTGTTTTCAGATTATTACTAGGTATTGTTTTATATCGATTATCTCGATATCGATATCAGTTTCTTATTATAATTTCGCTCTAATATTCAAAATTTTGACGTCTTCTCAACTGAAATCATGATTATGATGCAATCTATGATCTGTAATTACAGAATGTGTTATTGTATTTCTATTAATATGAGACTTATGTTCTGAGATTCTCGTTTTTAATTGTCTTCCTGTTTATCTAACATAAGTCACATCACAGTCTTTACAAGAGATTTTATAGACAACGTTCTTTTTACAAGTCGCAGACACCGACAAGATATTATTAAACCGATATCCTTACAGGATATATTCGTTCTTGTTAATTAAAATAATTAATGACTAATTCAGACTGGACGCAGCAAGTGGAGTAGCAACCAATCAGGTGATATTTACAGTGGCGTAAAAAATATCGCCTCACTGGTTGGTTGCTGCTCCGCTGCTTGACGCTTGCTGCGTCCAGTTCAGTCTGCACTAAGCATAAGAGTAAAAAACTGATAATATTACTGATATATACTATAATAATTTTATAATTTATTAATTCTGTAGACGTGTTTATCAGTATATATGTATTTAAAATTCGCAATAATACTCGAGTTTTCTTTAAAATTGTGATTTCGATGTCGTCAAAGTTTGATTATCAACAGAGATAACTGCAGAGAAAAAATTGTAATTTTTCGGCAATATATAGGATATTATAGCTTTACAAATATGCATATTTATTTATGGAGTATTTACGTAATAAAAAATTATGAATTTAATAATGTATTATAGCCAAATATATATGTTCATAGCAAATTTATATCAATTGTCGATAATGTCAGTGCTCTTCAATTATCTCTAGGCCTTTTTTATACCGCCGAAAATTTGCCCAGGATTGTCCTTAATAGTATCTCATCGGTGTCACAAGTAGTGAATCTTTTTGTGTTCTGATAATATTGTATTACCCAATTTATTCATGCTGTAAAAGGGTACGATAGAAATCGTGTCTTTGACCGTTTCTAAATTTTTCAGACAATGGACCTACATAAGAATTGTAAACCGTGTTTTTAATTGATTATCAATCATTATTGTTATTATTGTTATCATATGATTATTGTCTTCATATAAGAATATTTTTTTTTATTAGTCAAAATTTTGACTTTTAATCATTGTCGAAAAAATAAGTTGCGTCTATATTATTATCACTGAAGAAGGTTAAAAGACTAATCGAAATACGAATTATATAATCGTTTAACGATTGTTCTTCTCTTAATAAATTTTCTATTAACTTGTAAATATTGAGAGATGTTTTTAAATAATTAGCTTGTACAAGCGCCTATTCTCTTCCTCGAGCCCTTCTATTTCCTTTATTTTCTTATATACAACATTCCTTATTTATTATATATAAAAACAGTGTGTTGTTTTCGTTAATCGAAACACTATGTATTATATATATATAGATATATATTTTAAAATATATATACAATATGTCTACTTCATTGCATTGAACTGCACTGTCTGTCTGCATTGTAAGAGACACGCCATTAAGATAGTACAATCATCTCTAACAGTTTTCACATTAATTAACGCACTGGGGTCCACTCCTCCAACACTTGGCTATACTTTATACGTTCTGGAAAAAGAAACAAGAGTACATAGTATGTAATATTTTAAGTCAGATTATGATAAGCAGATATTTGGTGAACAGTTTTTTCTTCCAATACATTCACCATATTTTAGCTGGCTTTTTGTTAAAGCTGAGTTAGATAATTTTTGTATTAAAAAGAACAATAAAAACTTTTAATTTTTAGCTTAATTTATAGTATTAACTTAATAACAAATGTTTGAGTTTTACATAAAAATATGTATATACACTATCGCTCAAAAGTTTGGCACTCTACAATTTCTTAGATAAAACTGCATTAATTTTTATAAATATAATATTGTTGAAAATATCAATTTTTATTTTTTATATCATATTTTATTATCATATACATTTATTATCATATAACGTCTCTGGACACAGATTAGAAAAGATCTACACTCTGACGCAATGCTGCTAACTTTTTATCCATCATGAATTTTACTGCGTTTCATCGTTTGACTCACATTGAGTTTGATCAAACACATGATTGTCAATTCACACATCACTCTAGAATATCGACAACATGATGATTTATGACAAATATCATTTCACAATAACAACTATCAAGACTCAAAACATTTTTACTCAGTACTTAATACTAATACTACAGTCTGTTCAATAAAAACGTGATGCTCATTATGTTCAATAAGAACGTGATGCTCATTATGTTCAATAAGAACGTGATGCTCATTATTCTACAAAGAGCGACCGTAGCGATATCTTCCTGAACTCGTTTGAACCTTTATTTCGTGCTCTTTTGCGCAATATATCCTACCAGCATTGTGTAGTTTACGTCAGCGAATTTATTATTTTTACAATGAGTGCCAAATTCTTGAAGCGATACGAGGTGTTTTTAGTGAATGGAATGGCCGGCAATGTCCCCAGATGCTAATCCCATTGAAAATGTGTGGTCGTACATGAAGATGAAACTCAAAGGAAAGCCAGTGTACACGGTGGAGCAGCTGTCATTTCAAATTAAGAAGATATGGCGATCTTTGCCAAAGAAATATGCAGATAACCTCGTCGAAAGTATGGAAAAAAGATGTCATGCAATAATCAGTAATGGAGGTGATTGGACAAAATACTAGGGTAGGTAATTGCGCAATAGCTAATAATGTGTACTTCAAAAAAAAAATAAAAAACTGTCCAAATGTTTATAGTTTTTTGATTATGGCAGACACTTTCTTATTGAACAGACTGTACAAATAATGAATGTACCATATTGACTGTACGGAACAACCAAACTCATGAATAGAAGACAGTAAATAATCTTTACACCGTTAATTTTAAAATTTAACCAAATTATATAATTTTATGATTTTATATTTTATTGTTTTATCAGATTTATATAACATCTACATTCGCGAACATTGATAATGACCCGATCGAAACATTTGTTTTGTTTATAATTTTATGTTTTCATAATGATTATTTTCACATTTTAAATATTAAACGTTCTAACAAAATTGACTTGTAGCTCTTCTATTTTAAAACATATGAAAAAAAGAGCATAAAAAACCACCGTACAAGTTATAGTTTGTGATATTTAATTATCATTACATTAATAAAAACATTAGATGTTTCGGCCACAATCTGGCCATCCTCAGTAAATTCATAATATTCTTAAAACGCAGAGTTACATATAGCTGACATTAAATTCAACCGTCGTATGATATAATTATATATAAACGTGTTCTTTCATATGTGAAGGTGCCTAATAATTTACACCGCCGCCGACAATTGTCATATCACAAAAAGTGTAGATCCAGATTCTAATTTAACAAATTTACGTATCATTAATATCTAATCGAAATGTGTGAGAATAGAATCGTTACCTGTTTTACAACAAAAAAATAATGATGAATCTCAAGTACATCCTTTGCACAGATGGAAATTTGTCGTGACATTATGTGTTATTATTTGTCATATCATATATTACCACTATTTATATGTATAAGTCAAAAGTTTAGAAAGTTCTAGAATTATTTTATTAAGTGTGAGAGAGATCTTTCTTAAGAAGAGGCAGATAAACATCAGGCAAACCTTTAGTGTCACTTTGCTTATTGATATCACTTATTTGGCCTTTAATGTATATCATTTCAGAAATTCTTCTTTTCATTAATGATTGTTCTGTGTCTAAAATTCTTATGTTATCCCAATCCAATTCATGCATCTTATTCAACTGGTAACGTGAAACCACTGACATCTCGGAAATGGATCTTCTTATGTCAGCCTTATGTTCTTTTATACGAGTTTTTAATTTCCTTTTTGTTTGCGATATTAAAGCCATGAATATGTGAAAGTTTTTTAAATTTTTCAGATACTTTGCTTAAATATGATATTGTGAAAAACTTTTTCTTTGAATTAGAATTAGAGTCACTTTCGTTATTATTGTTCTCACGATTTTGATCTAAATTAGTTCTACTTTCCAAGATTTTTATTTTATTTTTTATTGTTGAAAATATGAATTTAAGAGGATAACCATTCATTAAAAGAGTGTGAATTAAATCAAAGATGTTTTTTTCTTGAAATTTTGGACGGGATAAAAGCAAAATTCTATCTCATTGCCCGTCTTCTATTTTACCATTGTCAATTTTTATTTTTAAACCTACGTGGAATGAAACCTGATTAAAACAATATCAAATTTTATACATTTACGAAGTTAGTGAATAAAGATATTCTAATATGCCGAATAGGGAAGCTCCGATGATCTTGATCTTGACATATGTTGTCGAAGTCATGACCCTGAGTGACCTCCACCAGATTTTAGCTGTCACTCGTCATTCATTAAAAAGTTATTAACAAAAGTATTAACAAAAGAAGTTTGAAAAATGATGTTTCTTTTTTACTATATAAAACAGAAAATTTCTACTTTAAAGTACATTTTACAACTTTCCACGCGAAGTGATTCCCACCCCTTGCTTAGGAGCGCACGACTTCCACACGAAGCGACTCTCATCCCACTTCTCTCTCTACTGAGAGGTGCGACTTTTACGCAAAGCGACTGCCACATCACCTCTCCCCCCTGCCAAGGGGTGTACGACTTTCCACGCGAAGCAACTTGGTGAGATGAGATGGAACTTGCTTCGCATGGAAAGTCGTGCGCCCCTTAGTAAGGGAGGAAGTCAGATGAGAGTCGCTTCGCGTGAAAAGTTGTAAAATATATTTTAATAATATATATATTTTAAAGCAGAAAATTTCTGTTTTATATAGTAGAAAAGAGACATCATTTTTCAAACTTTTTTGTTAATAACTTTTTAATGAATGACGGCTAAAATCTGGTGAAGGTCACCTTGACAACATATATCAAGGTCAAAGTCATCGGAGTTGCCTCCTCTATTTGGCATATTTATCAGATATTCTAAACTTTGAGCGGTAGTGTATTTATATGACTGTCGCCATAATAATTACTAGTAGTTAACAAAGCATAAACAAAAAATTCAGTACCAATTACTGACAATCATGAACATATTAATTATAAAATACCATTATGTTTATTCTACAATTGCGTAAGTTATAAGTTGTACTCATAAAAATTGATCACAGTCGAATATTCTCCTCAAATTCGAATGTGAATGATTAATCAATCTTTACAATTATAACTACTTACAAATATGCTTACATTTTTGTAGAATGGGCTTTAGGAACATTACTTATAAAAATAACGTATTACCATTAATGTTATTTTTTGAAAAAAACAATTCGTTATCGTTACTATTGTAATTTAAAGAAAAATAATTATTAACAATAACATTATTGGACTGTACATGTGAAAACAACCAAGAGAATAAAGGTCCATAACGGTAAAGATTTTGAAAATAACAACGTGTTAAGTTATTGTATAAAAGAATATTTATTTAGTATAAGAATATGACTTTTTTAAAGATATAAAGCTTCGAATTTTTTTAGGGATCCTGTAGACCCCTAATGATCACGAAGGGTTAAACTTTTCTAATAAATCTTCTAATTCTTTGTATTAATATTTTTATTCTTTAATATACTTATCTTTAGGTATTCAGATTGTAATTTACAAGTGCAAATCAAAATTTTTTTTAAACTTAGTTTTTATATATTAAAGTCGTTGTTAATAGTGTAGCAAGGTGAGCCATTAGAATCTTGACAAAATTAAATGAAAATTTTGAAAGTTCCGCCTTATTAGAATTCACTTGTAGCTGCTTTGCATTGAAGTAGGCAGATGCGTGAATGAAACATTCCTAACTTCAAAGTACTCAAGTGAATATCGATTATGAATATCATGGAATATAAGCGAAGGACAGCGATCACTGAAAGTTTGCGCTAGAAGGACGCCAAGAGAAATAATAACATTTTTCAAATATTCGAAATCAACGATCTATGATGTTACCAAGAGATGTATGGCTTTAAACGGATCCGAGGAAGATTCCCCGGCAAAGAAGAAACACGCGAAGGGAAAAAATAACAAGGACTCTGGAACTCGTCCAAAGAGCCGAAGAGCTCATTTTGGAAAATCTAGGGACTTCGATTATGAAATTGGTGATCATTCTGAGAGAATTATTCGAACGTCTATCGGATTGTTAAAGAAGATTTGAAGTATATTTAAGATATTTTTCCGGCTACAATCGCACTAAAAAATTAATCGCGTACAACCTACGAATGTGCCTCTCTGCGTGCTCTCTGAAGAGAGAAATTTTTGAGGCAAACGTACGCACATACGCATAAATGTCGTATCCTTGTACACGAACACTAATCCGCACTAAAAATAGTTGAAATATGACAAATAACATGAAATAGCATGTCTGTCTCGCCGCTCGGAGTGGAGAGTTCTGAAGTCTATCAAATTATTAAACTACTCTAATTTAGAAACGGCACCGCTAGGTCTCCCTATTTTTTTTTTATAAGGTTCCTATTTCTATATTATATACAGGGTGGGCCATCTATTGGTACGTTTTTAAAAATGCGATCAAATGAGCATACATTGATATTTTTTATTAATTTTTTTTTTGTTGTGAAGCTAAAAGTATCCGCGTCAAGAATGAAAAACGATTTCGTTCATGTGGCTCCCTCTACTGGCCTTACAGTATGCCATTCGGTCACCCCAATTATTAATGACATTTTGGACTACCTCGGCGCCAATTTCACTCAAAACAGTCGTAATATTGTTTTTCAAAGCTGGAATTGTCTCACACTTTGGGCCACAGCCTCAATATTCTCGGGTGTGCGCACTGTCCGAGCTCTGGGACCACTTCTGTCATCCACTAACATCCCTTTCTCACGAACTTTCCTCACCAATTTGCGTATAGCTCCTTCGGTGGGTGCTCTATCACGACCCATATTTCTTTTCAAAATTCGTACAGTTTCGGCGACACAGCACTGACTTTGAAAATAAGTTTTTAAAATTTCAAAACGCTCTTCAAGAGAAAACATGTTGTTTCGTGCCGCGGACGGTATGACTAATAAACTGTCAAAATTTCGGGTCTGTAGCTCGTTCGGTGTTGCCATACGACGAAATTCAAAAACGTACCAATAGATGGCCCACCCTGTAGATCGTTGATTTCGGATATCCGAAAAACGATATAATTTCTCTTGGCATTCTTCTAGCGCGTAAACTTTCAATAATCGCTGCCCTTATACTCTCTATGATATTCGTAATTGACTTGATTACTTTGAAGTTAGAAATGTTTTATTTACACATCTGTCTACTTCAATACAAAGTAGCTACAGATAGTACAGGTAAATTATAATATGGCGAAAATTTCAAATTTTGTCCAGATTCTAACGACTCACCCTGTATTTCTATAGCTATTATTCATTACCAATATTAAAAATCAATAATTTATGTACATATACATATATGTATACTACTTTCAGTATTAGTAATAACTATTAAAATGTAGCTTAGATATAAAGTCAAAATATTTTTCAATATTTAAAGGACGGTAGAACTTTTGTCGCAATTGTTCGTTTTATTTATTTAAAACTGAAAATTATCACAATAATAACTCAATACTTAAAGAAAAATTGATACATTAAAATAAAGAATAAAATCCTTATTCACATCCTTATAAAATCACTGTCAGATATATACTTTAATCATTTAAAAATTAATTCAGAGTAGTTTAACAATAATATAAATAAGGATTTTATTCTTTATTTCAATATAGCAATTTTTCCTTGAACATAACGTCATAATTATAATAATTTTCGATTTTTAAAGAAAAATAAATAAGAAAATGTATAAATAAAACGATCAATAAAAAAGTGAAAATTGTACTCTCCTTTTTCTATTCCATAAAATGTATTATTTATACAATAAGAAATGCGGTTTATAAACTGGATATAGTATAAATAATTAAAAAATAATGATGAATGAAAAGTAATAGCTAAATTCGTTATTTTATTATTAAAAATGTAACAACATTTCCATTACCGTTATGGACATAAAAAAATGATTGGCACTTAACAAAGTAACGGTATAAAGATGTCATAAATAAGTCATTACTTTCCAATCTTGCAAAATATATACGCAATTGTGCAAACAAAAAGATTATTTTATTTAATACTTTAATTATCTAAGAATGAAGAAGAGCGCGTTACCTGGCTCGGGGAAAAGTTCTGGATGTCGGATAATATAATCTCTCAGTTTAGTATCACGTTCCGCTTGAAAATCGTCAACAAACTTCTTTACAAATTGTGACAAAACGTATCCCCCTGCTACGAACATAATATGCTTCTGTATTCCTAAACAAAAATATCCTTGATTTGAGACTGCGCCAATATTTGTGAGATTTGTGTTATTCCGAAATTCGCAATTCTACATTTAATCTTGATTTTAATTTTTTTTTTATTTTCTTGTTATAGTCAATTATTTTTCTCACATTCGACTGATTAGTTAATTTCTTACGATTTCAGACTTGAAGCTTAGGTAATGGTTTAAGTTCACATACAAAAGAACACATACAAAAGCATAAAGCAATAAAGGCCATGGTACACAAAAAACCTAAAGCAGTAATACGCAAGCAGTAAGGAAATCAACATGTTGGATTGACTACTGTTACATTATAGTCTTACGCTTTTAAATGTGTATAACTTGTATTTATATTAAATTTTATATATAATGCCTGTTCTATAATAGCTGTAAGCGCAGCTGTAAGTGATTGTAATTGTAAGAATTGACCAATCATAATCAAATATTCTTCTCATATCTGACTTGATTAGTCAATTCCTATAACTACTACAATCACTTACAACTACAATTACGATTATTGTATAATAAGCTTAAGATATAAGACTAAGTCCACAACCTTGCTTTAAAACCTTGCCGTAAGCCGTAAGTTGAAAGTGACGGACACAGGACTTATATTTTTAGGCCATAAGATTTGCTCAATTCACTTAAGTCTAACAGTTAAAGCCTAAAGATTGCGCAAAAATAGTTTAAAAACAGAAATTATTGTCACTTAATCTCTTTCAACTTATGACTTAAAGCCCATTCTATAATTACGTAAACATAGTAAGTAGTTGTAGTTGTAAAAATTGACTAATCACAGTCAAATATTTTCTTCATATTTGAGTGATTGATTAATTCTTATAACTACAATCACTTACAACTATGCTTACGCAATTATGAATTGAATGGCCTCTTAAAGCAAGGTTGGGGACCGAGACCAAGGATCTGAACACAAGGATTGCTGTAATACTTACAGACTTAAGTTGTAGATGTAAGCAACTTTGGCGTATGACGCGGAATGTATGTATATATATTGCTGTATCTCTTGATAGCGTACTGTCACATCACACATCAAAGCTTGTGTGTTGCTTATGCTTAACTTTCGTAAGTGTTATGGCAATCCTTGTGTTCAGACTCTAAGTTATAAAACAATTCTTGTGCGTTACTAAAGATGTAAGATTTAAGTCATAAAACACTGTCTTAAGATTATAAGTCAACCTTTCTGCTAAGTCTGGTTCTATAATAGGTATTTTAGCCTTAAATAAGAAATTAATCAATTACAGTGGAATGCCAGGAGAATAATTCACTATGATTCGTTTATTTCTTATGGCTTAAGTCTTAAAAACCCATTGTAGATCTGAGCTAAGGGCTATCGCAGACGAAATTCCGTAATGGGCTTTCTACAATAAGTCATTACCTGATCTTTAAATTTTAAGTCATAAGAAATTGACCATTATATTAGGTGTACAAATAAGTTTCCGCCGTTTGACAAAAGACGGCGCCACTAGCAAGCTATGGTTAAAATTGTCTGATGTAAAACATTATATCCTAAGGTTGGACATCTGTCAACAACATAACCTTGAAATACTAGCGATTTTGTATCAGCATCATATATTTTTTTTTGCGAAAATGCCGAATTTTGAGCCGAATAAGCGTCATTTGCGGGAACTTTTGATTTACTTCTTTAATTTGAAGAAATCTGCAGCTGAGACTCATCGATTGCTTGTAGAAGCATATGGTGAGGCTGCCTTAAGTGAGAGAAGTTGTCGTGAATGGTTTCAAAAATTTAAGAACGGTGAATTTGACGTCGAAGACAAAGAACGGAAGGCCGAAAGTGTACGAAGACGCGGAATTGGAAGCATTATTGACTGAAGATTCGTGCCAAAGGCAAAAAGAACGCAAAAAGAACTTGCACTTACATTAGGAGCGACTCAACAAGCAATTTCATATCAGTAAATGCTTAATTTTTGATAAAAAACGCGGAAACTTATTTGTACACCTAATAGTTGATTATTCTTCTCAGGTCTTAAGGACCAGGATTAAGCGGGGCAGAGAGAGGAGCTAAAGAGACTACAGTCTCAGGCTCCATCTTTTTAGGGACTTTTAGTCTCAGCTTAAAATGGTATTTCATTGATAAAAGTAAATAATCAAATACAAATAATTAAAATTTTTAATTTTACATTCCTCGTACAATAAAACACACAAGTCACACACGATCCACAATGACTGATACTAGACTATCATTATTGGTATTATTAGCAATACAGAGCGAACTGCTGAAAAATCTTGATTTTAATCAATAAATTTGCACAATAAATCAAGAAAAAACTTTTGTAAATACCACTAAAATTTCAATAAAATATGAATTATCTTTATCTATTTCTTTTCAGCATTCGGAATTGTATTGTATCTTTTAAGCAAAAACAACAAAAGTCATTATATGGACAATCACCAATTCTTCAAATAGAAAATGCAAAATATGTTTATATTTTGTTATTATGATTGTTATCAATAAATAATTTTGGTAATTATTCAGAAAAATTGTCTCATCTCTAATTTCGATGAAATTAGACTCATTCGACGCATTTTTGGACAAAATGAAAGAATCTGGCAGAAAAAAGTGCAGAACTGCCCTGCGAAGCGAACTATTAAGTATTAAAGTTGACGGTTGAGATTAGAAAATCTGTCACAATTGCGAAATATTGCGATGACAGCATGTATTGCGATCACCTTTTCATGCTTTATGACTACATGTGCATACATTGTATATGCATACTAACTTGCTTTTACAGCGATATATTAATGTTCGTTTATTAATAAGGATAGCCTATCGGAGACCGTTCCAAATCCTTTTTAAATGAATACGGTTAAGTAGATTTGCATACTATTTATCAATAATATAAAATCCTTATAGAACACTGAACGCGTGACAGCAATTTAACAATTCTCTGTCATAACATTCATAGATGCAAATACGTGTTTCCAGTCATCGCACAGATCTAAATCAATTGCGTAGCGCGGAAAAAGTTAAAAAAAAAAAAGAATAATTTAATTTGAGTATTTTGAGCATTTTATATTATTGTAAACATTCTAAAATATTAAAAACTATAAATTTTCGTCTAATAATGTTAATTTAATGACATATATAATGACGTTCAATGACGTATATAATAATTTTATTTATGTTCCGATCATTAATATACCGTCGCGACAGCTTTAATGACACGTTATAAATCGTTGCTATTTTCATAAGATGTGTTGTTGTTTATGATTTTATTGGAATGACTCCCAATCAGGTAATTTTTTAATAGATTTTTTATATTTGATGCTAAATTTAATATCGATTACTGCACTTATAGATTAATAGTTCAATACTTATAACATTAAACTTTTCAAAGTCTGATAAAAAATTGCAGACATTTGTAGATGTTGAACTTAGGTTAAATCTCAACATTTTTTATCGAAGAATTCGTAAAAATAAAATGCGCACATGTGCGGCTTATAAAGTTATAATAATTTTTTAGTAAGAGTATTCTAAGTATGAAGCATTTGGAATTATTTTTTCAATAGCGCAAACATAAGAATTTGAAGAGAACAAAATTAATAGTTCAACTAAAAGAATTTTGTATTTTAATGTAAAAGAAAATATAAATACAGATTTACTTAAAGATATATTATGAATATAGAGATATATTATTGAAATTTATGAAAAATATCGAAGATCGTTAGAAAAATGTAGTCGCAACGTGAAAACGTTCAAATCTACAAATAGTAAATGGTTGAATTCAAATTTTGAGATTTTATCTGTAAGTACACTGTAAAAAATTTACATGTTAAATTATATCATCAAGCCGCCGTTATTGTTTCTCAAATATGTATATGTGTTGTCTGATTATATATGCAATAATTAATAATTTTTATTATGTTCTGAGAGAGATAAAATCTAAAATATTAACAATAAATAATATTTAGTAGGGTTAATACGAAATTTGTAATTTTTTTCATGCTGCGAACTGCAATCATTGTGCATCGTGCGAAAATTTTTTAAAAAAGAAAATCTTTGTAAATTATTATTTAAAAGATGTTAAAAATTTAAAAGGTAATTGATTTAATATAATTAAAGAGTGATAGAATTCAAAAATATCAAGTGTTTTATGATTACTTTTGCGGATTATTATAAAATTTGTTCCAAAGTTCGAAAGGACTCGTGTCCAAATTGGACAGTACAGATAATTTATAAATCTGATTGTAGTACTGGTGATTGGCCGACCAGATCTGATCCAAGAAATTAAATCAATAAAGTATCATAAGTTATCAGACTCAGATTAATTGAGTTTTATTGATTTCAATTCTAATAATATAAACTGTCAATAATTTCTTTTTTCTGAATAAAATTTTTATCTTTGTCAAATTGCTCGTTTTTACTCAATACTAACAAAAAATACATTAAAATGTTTTTTAAAATTCTATCTTAAAGTTCATAAAAATAGGAGTGTCCGATTTGAAATCGATGGTTCCAAAATAATAAAGTAGGAGATTTCATTTACTTCGTAAACATTTCAAAAAAAGTAATATACTTTTCATCTTAGAAGCCTCAGGGGCTCATTTCAAAAAATTATTTTATTAGAACACAGCTGAAAAATCTTCTAATGCTGCGTCTTTTATTCTATTCTATGTTGTTTTTTAAAATCGAGAAATTTAATTCGATGCATCTCTCTGGCGGTACCGCATGCTGCTCGACGACACTCTATTTCCATTCGATTGATAAAAATGTGGACTAAATATTTTACAAAAACGATTTTCAACTGATT